CCTGCCCGAGCTTCCCCCGCCGCGCCGTCGCCTCGCTCCGCCGCCACCTCCTCGCGCGAGGGAGGAGGCGCCCCTGGCCGCCCTCGGCCGCCCGCTTGCTGCCCCGGCCGAGACCGCGGTCCAAGGGAGGGCGGCCGGTGCGGCGGCGGTGCGTCGAGGCGTGGCTGGCAGCGGCGCGGCTCTCCGCCGCGCGGCAGCGCCGCGCCGGCGCGTGGGACTGCTACAACCCGAGGACGGGGTCGGAACTGCTCCTCAACGGCCTCCTCCTCGGCTACGCGCTGCCCAGCACAGCTGGCGCGCTGCTGCTGCTGCTGACGCAGACCGAGCTGCCGCTGCGCGGAGCGGCAGCCGCCGCCCGCGCCGAGGGCTTGATCAACCGTCCGTTCACGGCGGCGGCGTGGGCGAAGCTGCAGCCAGGCCGCGCATGGCCGGCAGAGCTGGAGGGGCAGTGGACGGTCGCGCGGGTGAGCCGGGAGGGGCTGGTGCTGGTGCCGAGCGAGCTCTTCTCCATGGATGACGGCCAGAGGGACGAGGCGCAGGAGCGGCGAGCGGACACACTTGAGTGGTGAAGCGGGACTGAGGTCTGAGCTCGGACTGCCCCGAAAGAGGGATCCGTCACCTGAGGGAGGGTGTAGAGGATGTAGAGTGTAGAGCGCTGTAGAGCTGTAGAGCTGTAGTGTGTAGAGCGCTGTAGAGCTGTAGAGCTCTACATCCGGCGCGTGACGATGCTGCGCCTGCGTTGTAGAGCGATGTAGAGGCGCTCTACAACGTGAAATCTCTACAACAACTGTCAACTCTACATCATCATCAAAAGCGGCGAACGAGGCACGGTCGCTCTCCGACATGAGGCGCGTTGCACTTGCCAGTGCTGCCCTGGCCTTCTGTCTGCCCGCCCAATGGGTGGCAGGTGCCTCTGCTGCTGTGGCATGCCTCACGGCTGCGACTGGCCGGCGCCTCGGCGCGTCAGCTCGGCTCGGCGTAGCGATAGTGGCCACAGCGCAACTCGCCTGGACTCAACGCTCAGCCAGGAGCTCCCGCACGCGCTGGCGCGAGTCATGGCGCATGCAACGCGCAGCAATGCTCGCCTCGCCTCGCGCAAATGCGACCGTCCTCGCAGCCGACAGTCCACCGCCTGCTACAGAAGCACTGCGACGAATGCGGCACCGGCGACGCATGGCAGGCTGGTCATGACGCAGTTATAGGGTGTTGTGTGCCGTCAGAGTGACTCGCATCGCCATCGGTTGCCTCCATGAACGGCAGAGCTATAAATTCTCGCGCGCGCACACACACCTCACACGCACACGCACACACACACACACACACACGCACACACGCACACACACACACACACACACACACACACACACACACACACACACACACACACACACACACACACACACACACACACACACACACACACACACACACACACACACACACACACACACACACACTCACACACACACACACACACACACACACACACACGCGCGCGCGCGGGAAGAGAGAAGTACAGCGATCGCCAACTCGCTGGTCTCTCTCCGCAAGGCCTCCCGACCGCGTCGAACTCATCGACGCGGGCTTCTCTCAGCACTCGGCTACGGGACCGGCCCCAGCTTCGGCTGGAGGGCTCCTGACAAGCTGCCGAGCCCAAATCACTGTGTGAGTCGTGATTTCTTGTTGGTTTTCAAAATCTCTCTCACTCACGGGTCACGGGTACTCGAGTAGATACGTACGGGCAGGCAGATACTCGAGTACGGGCAGACAGATAGAGGCAAATGCGGCGAGATACGGCGAGATAGATGGAATACGCGGAGATAGAGGGAGTTACGGGGAGATAAAAATCGTCCAGACTAGGACTCAAAAAAGAAATAAAAGGTATGTTGCTAGCCGTCGCCCACCCTTGGGCGTCCGCCTCTTCCTATCTCTCTTCGCAGTCCCTCGCCGATTCTCGCTGCAACCTTCATGCCACCTCGCGGTCGGAGCGGCCGCACACTGCTCGGTACCCCCCCTGCACACCTAAGCCCATGGCCGACCCCCCCCCCAGCAGGAGCGCTCTGCTGCTGGGGGGGGCGGGACCCCCCCCCAGCAGCAGCGCTCTGCTGCTGGGGGGGTCGGGACCCCCCCCCCAGCAGCAGCGCTCTGCTGCTGGGGGGTGCTGGCATCTCTGTACAGACAGCAGCTGTAAGTAGCATGCGTTCGAGTTGCGAGAATTTATGGTCGGCATCAAAATCAGTGGTCTCACCGGCGGGGCCTCCTACTGCCAACCGGGCTGTGCGGGGCAGTCCAGGGGGAGCCGCATGGCTTGCACCACGTCGCTGCCCGCCATTGCGGCGACGCGTCGCGGCGGACCTGACAGTTTTGCCGGGCGACGGGCGCGCGCGCGTTTTCGAAAAAAGAAAAGGCAGCCCCTTGCTGACAGCTCAGTCGATCGATTTGCGACGAGCGAGCGATCCGAGGATCGAGCGGGTGGCCGATAGGCTAGGGAGATCAGCGCTGATCGATCAACGTCAGCGAGACGCCCGAGTGAGTGGCTCACTATACCCTTGTATGACCTTGAGCTATGCGTGTGGTAGTAACAAGATAGACTCAGATGGTCACAGGTCTTTAGTAAAACGCCAGCACTCGACAGCACGAAGGTGTATTGGGCTCGAAGGCGCGGTGAACACAACCGCCTCGAGCGTATACCGCTCAAACACGAGCCGAGGGGGCGGGAGAGGGGGCGGCGGGAGGCGGGAGCTGGGTCCAGTGCGCTCTGCTGCTGGGGGGGTCGGGACCCCCCCCCCCAGCAGCAGCGCTCTGCTGCTGGGGGGGTCAGACCCCCCCCCCTAGCAGCAGGGATGGGCTTAGAAGTGCAGGGGGGGTACCGAGCAGTGTGCGGCCGCTCTCGTCCCACTCTCGTCGTTCTCTCTCTTGTCGCTTCTTCCTCTGTCGCGTCGCTCTCCTCTGCCTCGTTCTGCGCCGCCGCCTGAATGACGAGGTCCCCAGCACTTTGCGTTTCCGGAAATTTCCAGGGAAAACAGAGAGTGTTTGGAGCTCCATTCTGGCAACTCTCGAGTTTCCGTGAGTCTGAGAGCTGGTCTGGGGCAAAATCTGAGGCAAAACCGAGGAAACCGGCACAACATACCGGGTATTACCCTTCCAGGTACCCGCAAAATACCCCCTCCGTCCCCACCCCCGCCCTCCCCGCCACCACCCTCCCCGCCCCCGCCGTCCCCACCCCCCTCCCTCTCCACCGACCGGGTATTTTGCCGATTTGGCTGATTTTGGGCCCAAACCAGCCTCAGACTCGGCTCAGAGCCCGAAAAATTTGATGGTTTCCCCGGCGGTCTCAGACCTAGATTCTAGTTTCAAGAATGGCATTCTTCGAAGTAGAATGGGCGCCGCAGCGGCCCGTAGCGGCGCCCCCTGCGTGCCCACGGCCACCCCGGGGCCATGGGACATCCCCCCGGCCATCGGGGATGCTTGGTTTATCCATTACCCCATTTACACGGGCTGTGTTGCGGCGCGCCTCGAGACGCGCAGCGCAGCGCAGCGCGCAGTCCGCAGACCACAAAACAGATCAGAAGACGGCCGTGGCGACACCCGCTCTGGCGACAGCCCCGCAAAAGGCACTCGCTCGCCGGCAAGGACTACGGGTAGCACAGGCGGCAGCAGAGGTGGCGGTCCGGGTCGCAGCGCGCGTAGCAAGTCGGCCCCAGCGTCACGGGCGTCGGGCCAGGAGCCGGCTCGACGAGATCGACGAAGAGGACGAAGAGGAGGAAGACTACTCGAACTTGGACGAGGACTCGGGCGAGGAGCAGGACTCGGAGACCGGCCAGGGAAGCGACGACCATGACTAGGTGACACGAGGAGTAGATGTGACACGAGTAGTCCGCATTTCGCGCTGTCTGCTGTCTGCTCTCTTTCGCCGCCCGACCCTTTCGCCCGCCCACCACTTGCGAGCACAAATCTCACACCTCCACTGCCCTCGCCACAGGCGGCGACGGACTGACATCCAAGGCTCGAACGGCGGCAGCGCTCAACGGCCGCCGGCGGCCGTCGTGCGTTTGCTTTTGCCATACGTGGCGCACCCCCCGGCGTCTGCTCTGGTTTGGGGGCGGGGGGAGGACTCTCATTTGCGGACTGTTGGGCTCTCTGTGTTGAACTGGGGCTTGTGCGCGAGCCCCACCAGTCTGGCCGAGCGGCACGCTGCCGCTGGGGGCGTGAGAAGGCCGTGGGGGACGGCGGCGGACCCCATTCTTCGATACAGAATGGGCCCTCACCGCGGCCCGTCTGCTGCTGAAAATGTGGCATGAATGTGGGGGGCTCTCCTGTGTGACTCCTCTGGCTCGTCGCGTTAAAGTGGCGCCTGTGTGTGACCAGCCCCAACCCCGGCAAGCGCCCCCCGGCCGCTGGGGCTGCGAGACGGCCGGGTGAGCGCGCGCGAGACGCCATTCTAGATGTAAGGATGCCATTCTATAATCTAGAATGGCCAGGTACTCGAGTAGGGCTGAGACCGCCGGGAAAATAGAGGAAATGCTGTAGAGAAAACAGGGAGGAGATGAGACGGGGTGCGAGAGGCAAACAAACAAACCTTATTCAGCCTAACCTCTCCACCACCCTCGCCCAGGGATCTACAACGCTGTCTTAAGGTCCGACAGGTTCGGCACCGGGCACCGCCTCGGTATACAAAATGCGCCTGCGGGCGGACCCTCACAGATCACAGATCACAGCTGCCCTGTGAATAAGACAGTTTCTTTCTCTGTAGGTAGGTAGGTAGAAAGGTGAAGAACAGCCAGGCTCGGACTGGACACCAAGAGCTTGTGCGAGGGAGTTTTGTTGTAAAATGCTCCCGCTAGTAAAATTCTCTGTTGGGCGTGTTGTTTGGGCGTGCCGATGACGTCCTTTGGCGAGCTGCTCCAGCTCGCGGGCACGTCGGACCCGGCCGAGCTCTTTGGCCGCGCGTGGCGCCTCTGGGGCTCCGTTCAGCGCTCGATCGAGCCGGCAGCGGCCGAGGGCGAGCTGCGCTCGGCGCAGGCGCTGATGAGCATCCTGGTCGACGCGGGCGCGCTCTCCGAGCGCCAGCTCTCCCAGGCGGAGCTCTGTCGTTCCTCCGTCTCCGCGCTCCTCGCCACGCTCGAAAGCCCCGGCGCCGCCCGAGCCGGCGCTCAGCCAGTCGCAGCTGCGGCTGCGGAGAGCGAGACGCCGAGCTCCGATCTGGGCGCCGCGCACGCGGCCCCGCACGCGGGCCGCCGGCACGCGCCGCGGCCCGACGCGCTGCCGGCGCCCTCCATGCTGCTCGGGAGCGGCCTGCTTGCCGCAAGGCCCTCCCGCGGTTTGGCGGCGGGCGGCGGCGGGGGCTGGGGGCGCGCGGGGGGGGGGGCGTCCGCGGCGCCCGGCGCGGCGCGCGGGGTCTGGTTGGCGGCCGGCGGTGCGGTGTCTGGCGGCGCGCCGGCTCGGGCGGGGGCGGGGCTTTG